TCCCACTTGGGCTATGCCCACCACACCCAGGAGTATATCTATAACCACTAGTTATCCAGAGGGGTCATGTTATTACGCCGCTAACGCGCCCCCTGGATAACTACTTATTAGATGTGGAAGTCGAGCTGTTTGGTTAGTGATCCCAAATAGTTACATCGTATTAAATACTATCAATAGATCCTAATGAGTGAGAGCAATTTGCCGTTCACTCCTGATTATGTGAAGCAAACATTGAATTTGACTGATCTCAAATCCCAAGTTGTCTTTATCTTATCTGCAGTCTGCTTGGTGGAGGATGTCATGATGTCCGGGTCAACGGTGACTCTCCCTGATACAATCATTGATCTGAACAGGTGTTTGCGGGCCATATGTAGCCCCATTCCGAACACTGTTGATAGAGCCTTCATGGCAGATACACATCCCGGACCATGCCATGTTTTCTTTGCACACAGCAGATCTCAACTCAGCGAATTCCTTGATACCAATGACAGATTCTCCGAGTTTGCTGATGGGAAAGCTTGTTGGGTGGTATCCTGACTGCCCGAAATACATCGAGGCATGTCTGTTACATGTCGCCTTCAAATGGCAATTTTGGCTGGAGACGATGGTAAAAATATTCTCTGAATATGCTGCTGATGAGTTGAAAGTCGAACGAATATTACAAATTCTTACAAGTCCGTTTCTGATCCCTACTTTTACAGTACGAAATTTAGATGCTCACAGACCGTCATGTTTCCTAACCCCTTTTTGCCACCTTTTATTTTTTTATTTTCTTTAGTATGCGCGTGGGAGCATTCCGAAGGAATAAGTCGTCTACCATACTTATTCACTTAAGAACGAGTGAATCAGATCCTCTAAGCAGTATGGCTGACGAATGTTCGCCAGATAGTCAATCCAACCGCTCTGCCACCTCCAAGCATAGAGTGTTTTCCTCAGGGGCAGAAGGCACCTTACCTACCAGCCAAGTGCTGGGTGTCGAGCCCCTCAACCAACACAATCAAGCTGGTATGCAACGGATTAACCTGCGCATAAAGGATTTTGTTCCCCATCAGTTGCACAAAAAGGAGGCCGTCAAAATTTCATTTTTTATGTGAATATCCTCATTATCGGTTCATTTCGAGTGTAATTTACCTTTCAACAGTCAAAGGAGGACAACAGCGGAAACAGGCTTAGAAGTAGATGGGACCAGAGATCCTGAACCAAGCCCCTGCTTCCCATCTGATCAAGCGTTCAATCCCCCCTCCTCCCCCGGTCCTGGACCAATGCCGTGAAGAAAAAGAAGGCCTCCCAAATAAACAATATAGGCGATACTTTCCATCATGGCCAATTCGCCATCCTACAGAAACTGGGATACGGGCAATACACCTCGAGACAAAATCCCACCCCAATCTAGCCGTCATTCGCCAATGATCTGATCAGAGGTGTGAATTCCTTCCCCACCCACTCCACATACAGCTTCCACGCACGCTGATCACCAGATGCCTCCGCAGTCGGGAACGCCTTCTGCAACTCCCGCGTAATCTTCAGTACTCCCAATGACGCCCCCTGCGCCTTCTCAAGCTCCTGTTTGACAGCGTTTTCCTTGGGTTTAATAGAGAGGACCTTCCGCAATGGTGCACTGAGCGCGTTGAGGTGGTCACGCGTCTCCTCTGGTGCAAGGACGATTAGTTTTGAGATCATTAGGTTAGATATGGTGCGGACGTCCTGTTCATCCTCGATGCCGGCGATGATTCGGTCGAAGATTTCGGCGACGTTTAGTGCGCCGAAGGCTACTTCTAGACACGCGTAGACGGCTTCGTAGGCGCTCTATTTTTTTTTTGGTTTTGGGGGTTAGCCGAATAGGTTGAAATATTAGTAGAGTTGTGTTTTTCTGGAGTATTTATCCTTACCTTTCGAACTTCTAGACCATCATCGACTTTATGTCTGAATGGGCCCATTTGAACTTCCCTCACAAGAGCCGGGTTGACTCGAGTATCGTTAATAGCAGCTGGTAAGATTTTATTGAGATGAGGGACAATGAGGTTAGTTTTATTGTGGATAGCGGAATTCACCGTTGTTAGGGCCAGGCGATGATTCGAAAGATCCGTATCATTCAGCATTGTGACCAACACGGGAACGATCAGCGGGCGCAGAACATCGTTGTAGGAATCGCTAGAGTCGGCAAGGGTGTACCGGAAAGCTGAGATGACTGTGCCCCTGATAGCAGGGTTTTCATTTGAGAGATATTCCTATGAAGAGGTTTGGTCAGCGACCATTCGTGGGCATCAAAATTTTTCGGGGTTAGTTCGCATACCTGAAGTAAAGGAATGTAAGAGGTCGGCTCGATGAGAGACAATCTTCCAATACACTCCGCGCCTACTGCGCGGTTATCTTCGTCGTCAGAAGCCGTGAGCAATCGTTGCCAAAGACGTGTGGCAAATGGTGCGACATCAGGTCTAACACTTTCAGGATGTTGCAGGATCTCCTTAAGGGAGTGGAGGAGGAGATACTTTGACGGCGCGGACGCCTCTAACCCTTCTAAGATAACAGGGAGATATGCTTTGATATTGCTCGCACCGGAATTTCCAAGGGCGATAGCGGCGGAGAGCCGTACTTTGTCAGACTTGGAGGTGAAATTCGAGATGAACGTTTCTGGGGTCAACGGGCATGCGGGTCCCATGCGAAGGCCGACTTCTCCTAGGACGGCAAGGGCAAGACATTTTCGTTGAGCATCTTGTGCTGTTTGAAGTTCTGTCAGGAAGTCTTCCATCTTGACCCCAATATTTGGACCGCCATATACAAGCAGTGTTCCAATAGCTCTCCCGACAACAGCAGGGTCTCCACTGACACCGACATCCTTCAACAACGCCTGCATCAGTACAGCCCCAGCTCCTTGTTCTCCAATAACTCGAACTAGCAGCAAATATGCCTTTAAGACTGTTCCCACCAAAGGCGCCTGGATAATAGAACACAGGGCAGCCACAATTCTATTGTCGATAAGCTGCTGCGCATTACCAGGAATTAGTTTGCCCATAATAATTAAAGTTGGGGTGAGGAGATGAAGGTCATCGGTACTGAGTAGAGGTAGGAGAAAACTGGTGAGTTCTTGTGTTGTCTTTGTGTCATAGAGGGCACGAGTATGCGGATTTATTGCAAGACTTTTCAGCGCCTCTAAACAAGAGCCTCGCAGTGCGCGGTCGGATTACGA